GTCTACACATTAGAAGATGTCTGTTATCCAGGACCAAAGGTACCCTGTGGAGGACACATTACGTGTTCTGTGACTTGAGAATGCCTGTCATCTTCCCATACGGGTATGTGGCCTGCCTGATTAGCGTCCATGCTGTGTGGTGTTTCACAGAGTAGGGCAATGGCCTCTCACTGAAGGCAAGAGAGAGAATTGGTAAGTTTTCTTCTGAGTTTACACACAGAAGGAATTAGGAGAGGAAGGGATGGGAGAGGGAGGAAACTTAATGGTAAGTACTAGTGTTCTGCCTAAAGCCCTAGATGTTAAACTGCCATATACTTCTTTTAGTTGATCTAGTTAGTTCTTTCACAGGCTGATATAGGGTCTTATTAAAGTAAGCGTTCTCCAAAGTGAATGCGTTGTATGTGTATTTGGGAAGAAGATGGATGAGAGAATGGAGAGGAAAGGGGGAAGAATTTAATGATTGCACATTTTTTACTTTTTTTGGTTTTTACAATTCATCTCTACCCAAGGCTGAGTATTTGTACAGACGAACATTTAGTCTGGTGGTCATACCAGTGATTAAAACGTTGGAAAAAAACTACAGTTTTAATGGAATGGGTACAGATGGGAAGTTGGTGGGGATAATTTGTCCGCATGTATTTTGGTAAAGATTGAAGTACTTTAGAAGCATAGTAAACCTACACTATGCCAAGTACTTGAGGAAATGTGGCAGTTTTTTTAACAGCTTAAATATCTAACAGTAAGATAATGTGTGAATAAACAAATAATAGTGACATTGAACATTATTATGTCCAGGCACATAGTCCAGGCACATTACCCTGTTAATAGCAGTGGAGCTTAAGTTTGAATCAAAGTGTGTTTTCCGTGGTGCTTCCTAAAGTTAGGCGAGTTTTAAGTTGGGCTTTGAAAGGAGAAGGAGGTATGAATTAATGTGTAGAAATCAGGGTGAATGGCATGCACAGAGGCAAATAAATTGCATCTGGAGTATGGAAAATAAGTTAACATTTTCAGTTTTCAAGTAGCACAGTATCAAATAGCTGCTGTGGCTTGGTGATCTGAGGAGTGACATTGCACAAATGGTGTTTGAAGATTATTTTATTAATGGTAGGGGATGAATTGAGGCCTAGGCATTTTTTTTAAACAATCCACAGAATTTACTCAGATGTTACTAGTTGTACGTGTACTGTACCCACTTGTGTGAATGTGTCTAGTTCTGTGCAGTTTTGTTACATGTGTAATTTTGTGTTGCTACCACTAAACTCAACATACAGAACTGTATCCCACCATAAGTTTCTTTATAGTCCCTTTAAGCTGTACCTAACCCTTTTCCCCACGTCCCTAACCCCTGGCAACCACTAATCTGTTCTCCACGTCTATGATTTTTGCTATTTCAAGCGTGTTACATAAATGAGCTCATGAAATATGTAACTTTTTGAGATTGGGCATAATGCCTTTGAGGTTCCTCAAGTAATTGTGCATATCAATGGTTTATTTTTATTGCTAAGTAGTATTCCTCCATGTGGATATACCAGAGTTCGTTTAAGCATTCATCTGTTGAAAGATATTTGGGTAATTTCCAGTTTGGGGCTATTACAAATAAAGCTGCTATGAATATTTATAATACAAGTTCCTGTGCTAATATATTATTTTTATTTCTCTGGGATAAATCTCCAAGCATAAAAATGCCAAATTGTACAAGTCCATTTTTAGTTTTAAAAGAAATAGCCAAACTATTTTCCAGAGTGACTGTACCAAGTTTTATATTTCCACCAGTATTTGGTGTTATCGTTTAATTTTTTTAAATTAAAGTTTATTGGGGTGACAATTGTTAGCAAAATTACATAGATTTCAGGTGTACAGTTCTGTAATACATCATCTGTATATCACACTGTGTGTTCACCACCTAGAGTCAGTTCTCTTTCCATCACCATATATTTGATTTCCTTTACCCTCTGGTAACCACTAAACTATTGTCTGTGTCTATGAGTTTTGTTTCTTCATTTGTTTTTCTTGTCCTTTTGTTGTTTTTAGTTTTATCAGTGAAATCATATGGTTCTCGACGTTTTCTGTCTGACTTATTTTGCTTAGTATTATAATCTCAAGATCCATCCATGTTGTTGCAAATGGCACTATTTCATCTTTTCTTATGGCTGAGTAGTATTCCATTGTGTATATATACCACAACTTCTTTATCCAATCATCTGTCTAAGGACATTTTGGTTATTTCCACATCTTGGCTACTGTAAATAAAGCTGCAATGAACATCAGAGTACATATATCTTCATGGATAAATGTTTTCAGATTTTTTGGGTAGATACCCAAGAGAGGGATTGCTGGGTCTTATTTATTTTACCCATTCTGATAGGTTATACCATCTCTACTGAGCTAATTTTGTACTTTTGTCAAAAATCAATGGGGCCCATTGCTGTGAATCTATTTCTGGGTTCTCTGTTCTGGTGTGTGTGTGTGCTGAGACCTTTTTATCATGAATGGTGTTAGATTTTTAAAAAGTTTTTCTTTGTCAATTGATGTGATTATATGATTTTTATTCCTTAGCCTGTTGATATTGATTTTGAGTTTTAAATAAATACTTCACCAGCCTTGCATACCTAGAATACATACCACCTGGTTGTGGCGTATTATCTACTATCTATTGCTGGATTCAATTTGCTAACATTTTGTTAAGGATTTTGCAGCTAAATTCATGAGAGATATTGGTCTGTAGTATTCTTGTAATGACTTTGGTTTTGGTCTTGGTAATATTGGCTTCATAAAATAAGTTGGGAAGTCTGCTTCTTTCATTTCTGTAAACTGTGTAAAATGGCCATTAATTCTTCTTGGTGAAATTCTCCATTGAAACCACCTGTGTCTGGTGATGTTTTTGAGAACTTTTACATTACAAATTTGATTTTTTTTTAAATAGTTACAGGATTATTCAGGTTATCTACTTCATCTTGGTTGAGTTTTGGTAGTTAGTTGCTTTCAAAGAATTGCTTCATTTTTTCCCCCTAAATTGTTGAATTTGAGCTAAAGTAGTTTGTAGTATTCCTTTATCTTTTCTTAAATTGAGATAAAAGCCACATAAAATAAAATTTACCATTTTAAAAGGGTACAATTCACTGGTTTTTAGTATATTCACAGTGTTTTGCAGCCATCACCACTGTCTAATTCCAGTGTATTTTCCTCACCCCAGAAAGAAAGCCTGTGCCCATCAAGCAGAAATTCCCATTCTCCTCTTCTCCCAGCCCCTGGCAACCGCTAAGCTATTAATATATTCTGTCTCTATAGATCTGCCTGTCCTGGACATTTCATATAAATAGAGTCATTTAATAGACTGTGTTTGGAATTGTTTTTTTCGGATAGCATAATGTTTTCAAGGTTCATCTGTTACTGCGTAGATCAACCAGTACTTGCTCCTTGGCTTAGGGCTCTTATCACTCTGACCTCTGCTTTCATTCATTATCTCATCTCCTCTGACCCTTCTGCCTCCCTTTTATAAAGACCCTTGTAATTACATTGGACCCACCCAGATAATCCAGGACTATCTTCCCATCCTTTATTCAATTTAATAACATGTGCAAAGTCTTCTTGCATATAAGGTTTCAAGGATTAGGACATGGACATCTTTGGGTGGGGGAGGGGGCGTTATTTTACCTACCACATGGGACTGTAGATATTTTATCTCATTGTTCCTTGAGGTTCTTCTTTTTTCAGTCTATTTTCTCTCTGTTGTTTAGATTGAGTAAGCTATTGATCTTGTCCTTAAGTCCAGCAAATTTTTTATTTTGGAAATAGTATGTTTCAGTTGTATAATTTTCATTTGGTACTTAATTTTTATTTCTTTGCTAAGATTTTAAGTTACTTTATTGTTTTAAGGAAATTCTTAATTGTTTGTTAATTGTTTGTTACTTAATTGTAAAAAAAGCATTTTTATAATGGTTGCTTTAAAATCCTCCAGTATGTGATTCATTTTGGTGTTGTGTTGGCATCCTGATTCTTGGTATATGACATGTAGTTACTATTATTTTTTATTGTATCCTAGACATTTAGGATACTCATGTTAGGACTCTTGATCCTATTTAAATCTTCTATTTTAGTAGGCAGTTACTGTATTTAGGTTTAGTGTGTAGGCCCTGGCCTACTTTGGTGAGCTGTGTAATTCCTATGGTAATTTAGCTTTCAGAGCTCTTGCAGTGCTGGTGCCTTCTGCTTCATTTCTTCTGCTTTATTCTTCTGGCTCCACAGGAGTTTGATCTGTACAGGTGTTTCCTGGGCTGACTGGTGGGGGTGGTGTGGGTCCCCAGCTCTGCTGCTGCTGGCGGGTGGGGTGGAGACAGGGACCTAGTTGCCCCTGTAGTGAATCTGGCTTACTGCTTCTGGGTGTGGGGTGGAGACCTTGCTGGTGCACTGGGTTCCCCACTGCCTTGGATAGGGATTGGGGAACCTGTCTCCCCTCTAGACCTCTGCTGAGCTCCCCTTTCACAATCCCTTGGCCAGAAAGCAGTGCTTTCTCATTTGTTTGTTTATTTGTCTCCCTGTCCCTGATGGTGGTTCCAGGTTGCAGGCAACTCTGAGGCCCACTCAGGAATGTATGGGAGATAACAGGAAAACCTGGTGACACTGGGAGGACTTAGCCAGTTTACCTTCCTTCTACCTCTCAGAGTCATTTTATGATTGTTTTTTAAATTATTTCCAGGGTATTTAGTTGTATTTAGAGGAAAGGAGCAGGGGAATGTGAGCCCACACTATCATATTCTGGAACTGGAACCCTAGCAATTTTGATTTTTTTGAGAGACGTTGTGTTTATTGACAATTCTGTGAAATGGTTGAGGCTTTCATTTTTATTGACATCCTGCTTTTTAGAGTGTTATCTGCATCAATTGTTGAAGGTAGGAACAAGATAAGAATTAACTTCTCTTTTTAAAATTGTATGGGAATTAGAAATGTCATGTTTTTATCTGTCCATCTACTTATTTACTCATTTACGTATTTATCTTTAGGGAGTGGAGCAACGGCTGTGGTCCAAGCAGCATATTGTGCCCCTAAAAAGGAGAAGGTGGCAATCAAACGAATAAACCTTGAGAAATGTCAAACTAGCATGGATGAACTCCTGGTATGCACATCTCATATTTCTTAAGTGGAGAAGTATATTCATGTATATTCATGTTATAGTGGGAAATAACTGGAAGTTGTTTTTTTTTAAAGGTTTGTGATTTTTTTTTTGTTAATAGTAATGTTTATTATAAAATTTATAAAAATCCAGGTAAGTAGAGGGGGAAAAAGATTATAATCCTCTCATTCTGAGATTAACACTTGCTATATAATCTTTCTGACTGCACATTTGTACATCTTTGTGAATTTATAATAATGTAATCATATACTTGTTTTTATTGAAAACTTTATCATAGACTTCTTTTTGTGTCTATAAATATGAATTAATATAATTTTCAATAAGTGTGTAGTGTTCCATTGAATAGGTAGACCACACTTTATTTGCACTATTCTCTGGTATTGGACGATTACCTTGTTTTCGCTCTCTTTTTTTTTTTTTTTTAAGCTGAGCCATCCTGCTACCTGTTGGCAGCTCAGTGGCTGCTCAGCTCCGGCCGGGAATCGAACCGCTGTTGCTCAGAGCTCAAACTCTTGAGCGAGCTCTTAACCAACTGAGCCACTCAGGTGGCCCTTGTTTTCTCTTTTTATTGTTATAAACAATGCTTGCTAACTTCTCTGTCCTTAAAATAGTATTATGTAATTGTGATTCCTGGGTCAAATGGAATATCCTTTAAAAGGCTTTTGGCTTCCCAGGAACATGTGCCAGTCTGCATTCTGACCACTGGTGCAAAATGGGAGAATGACCTCCGGCAGCACTGGCTTCTGCAAAGGCCAGGGGAAGAAGAAGAGAGGGAGTCCCGAGGACTAACAGCAAGAGATGTTCTGTGGCATTAAAATCTAGTCACACACAGATTGTTTTGTACTTCTTTTCTGTACCATGACACCCCGAGTAGTTTTAAGTATGTAGTAGGTACTTACCAAGGGAAATAAGATCATTTATTAAATCATTTAACTTTTTTTTTGTTTTTTTGTTTTTTTAGCTGAGCCATCCTGCTACCTGTTGGCAGCTCAGCGGCTGCTCAGCTCGGGCCAGGACTCGAACCGCTGTTGCTCAGAGCTCAAACTCTTGAGCGAGCTCTTAACCAACTGAGCCACTTGGCCGGCCCTAAATCATTTAACTTTTTAAATGCTCAGTTTCTTTGGCTTAAAACGGATATTACTTCTGCTTTATGTGCTTCATGAGGTTTTTCTGGAAGATCAGATGACACAGTACTTGAAAACTAAACTTCCATGCAAATATGAACTAATATTATTTTATTAAGATTATATACAACTAGTGATCGACAGAGCAGAAATTAGGTCAGGATAGTCTGACAGTCCAGAAGTTTTTCCATTGTCCCAGAGTGGATTCAATTGCTATTGTAGTCTGTTCTGAGTTTTAGGAACTAATTGGAATAAAAGGAAAACAGATACTAGAATTATATATTGAACTCGTAGCAGATGAGACAAACGTGTTCCTTCAGGAGTTGGTGGTGCAGGAGCAGAAGCTGAAGACGTGGGTTGCTGGAGGCATCTTGAACTCTTTGGTGGGAGAACACACACTTTGGAGGAGATGCTGATTGCAGTCCTACTTGGTGATTGACCTTGGCTTTACAGATGCCAGCAGTACCTCAGAGCACCATACGGACATTTGAACTGCAGTGACCATCAAACAAGTCTAAATTGTAAACTAATTCTATTAAAGAAAAATAATATTTTTAACATCCTCATTAAGACTGGAATTTGAGAAACCCAACAGGAATTCCTATTGTTTGCCAGTTATTTTACATAATATGTAAGGATAATGTAAAGATGGACGTTTTATTATCTATTACTTCGTGACTAAAGAAACTGAGGTGCAAGGTTTAAATAACTTAATTCACATGAAGATAAGAGCAGACGTCTTTTCAGTGCTAGGCACTTAAATATATTTTTTTCCTTGTCTTTCACTCCTGAAGAGTTATTTTATTTTATTTATTTATTTATTTATTTATTTATTTATTTTTAAGATTTTTTTTATTGGGGAATTGAGGGATGGGAACAGCGTTGGGGAATTGGGGAAGGGGAACAGACAAGTTGCTGTCCTTTTGTTCTTCAGTCTAGTTGTGGAGGACGTCGCTTCACTGGCCCATGTTGGTATTATGATCATTGTGCTCTTCCCGGCTGAGGCAAATAGGTCGCCAGACTCTGGACGGCCACTCATAGAGGCTCTTGGCAGCTCACGCTGGTTGCCAGCCACTCATGGTAGCTCATGGCAGCCCACGGCAGCCCCGCTGCAGCCTACGCCATTGCTGGGGACTCATGGCAGCCCAGCTCCAGGTCGAACTATTGTTCACCATCTTAGCTGTAGAGGGCGCAGCGTCACTGGCCCTCATATGGGATCTGAACTGGTGGCCCTGCTGCTCAGAGCTCGCACTCCCAAGCCAACTGCTAACCAACATGCCACTCGGCCGGCCCCACTTAAATATTTTTTAACCTCATAAATATCTCTGTGAAATAAGGAGTAGCCCCATTTTATAGATGAAAAAAGTAAATTACATGATAAGTGTCAGAGTCTGCATTAAAAATCAGGTCTCTCTGACTAAAGTCTATTATTTTCTACTTCATATTATACTAACAAAATGATTATAATCTTAGTTCAAAAGTAGAAAGAACGTCCCAAATATTTGACATTCTTGAAAGAAATGTTTGTGTTATTACACTAGGGCCTTACTGTTAGAGGAATGCAAATTTGGTATAACTTAGTAAAAGAAAAACAATTAGAGCTTCATAAATTTTGGCCATATGTTCCTATAAGCTTTATGTTGCAAATGTAGTATCTATATATTTGGCAAAGAAGTAAGGGTCGGGGGAAGTGACTTTTAATAAAGAAAGTTCAAGATAATTGGCTTTTTGAGGGGAGCAAGCAGATAAGATCCCACTAAACCCTGAAGAAGCATCAGGAGCATAAATAGTGCCTGATTTATTGGTGGTGTTCTTGGTGTTAGGACCTGAGATCTGAGTGCCAAGAGCTCCGTCTCTGAGAGCTATGAACCCCTTCAGTTTACCTTAAACAACCTAGTAGATCAACACACTAAACTTCTGATGTGGTGATTTTAAAATTGATTTTCAAAGTTATCTTTATTATAATGCAAAAGTGTGCTCTGGGCTCTCCAGGGAGTGCTGCTATAAACCAACTACAGGTGTGTGTCATGTGTGACAGTTATTTCTGAGGAGGCAGTATATTGCTCCTTTCTCTTGTCAAAATGTTTTCTTGTCTGACAACCTTTGCTAAGTATGATGGGAAAATCAGCTGTCAGATCTTACTACAGGTATTTTCTCCAGAGATATTACAGGCTTTTCTCTAAGAAAGGCACATAGCACAGTATTTTGAGATTTTTTTTTCTCTTTTCTAGATGCTAGGACTAGATTCATTGCACAAACATCTGAGGAGAACATTAAGAGGCTTAAAATGTTTTTTCTGCTACCAAGAGGCTCACAGTATAGTTGAAGACTGGGTGCTTTCCTGTACAAGGCACAGCCCGACAAATGCCTAGGAAAGGTATCAAGTACTGTGGAAGTAAGAGGGGGAGGAGAGCTCCCAGTTACGAAGTTGGAGGCCTTTGTGGAGATGTTTGTGTCTTGAGCCACTAGGGCTAGGGAGACTTTGAACAGGCCGGGATGGAGCCCTTGCCAGTCAGGGGTTTAGAATCAGGAACAAAGAGCATATTCATGTATATATTTATAAATATTAATATAACTGAAACAACATATTCATAAAACAGTTCTTAATTATATTATGTGGAATGCACTCTGATTTTTATATTTCCTTTTTTTGTTTTTAACATGATCCACTAAATTTATTTCATGACTCATATGAGTTACAACCCATAGTTTGAGGAACACTGTACTACACAAAATAGGTATTGAGACTCTAAATTCAGGAAATGACCGTGATAACAGAAAGGAAGGCACAGATTTCCTAGACGTTTTATAGATGGAAAAAGTATTAGTACTAGAACAAGCACTTTGTGAGGGCAGGGGCTTAATTTTGTTCACTTTACATGAATGAATGAATGAATGAATGAATGAATAAATAAATTAACATTACTTGAGGACTGACTGAATTGTGTGAAATGGAGGAAAACTACCTACACTGGAGTAATTAGAAAACCAGGGAGTAAATAGTAGAAATCAAGATGAGTGAGTTTCATGAAGAAATGAAAAGTCATCACTAAAACACTTCAAAAAACTTCAGGTGGGGAACTGAAAAGTCCAAACAAAAGACCTGCCATTAGCAGATAAGAGAGGACTTCGAAGAAAACACTTTCATTAGTAGGACTGGGATTCACTTACAAGTGTTGAGGAAGCTGCTGGGAAATTTGAGTCAGAATGAATACACCATTCTTGCAAAGCATTAATACATACATTTTTTTTTTGAAAGGAAAGGGATAACTCCAGTGGGAGTTAAGATAAAGGAAGGCTCCTCCTCCCCCTTTAAAGGAATAGAAGAGAAGAAAAGGAATGTTTAAGACTGTTTCAATCTTTGAATTCTGTGGTTGTCTGATAGTTTCCTATCAGGAAACCCTTTGTGGTGCCCCTTTTTTAGGATAAAGCTCAAAACCCTTAACATTTAAGACCTTGGACTTTATATTATATGTGTGTGATTTCTCTCACCTCTCCTGTCCAATAAGTCACCAAGTCCTATTGTTTATACCAATTTAGTATTATCTCACAACTCCCTTTCTTTTCATTCATATTGCCACTTTTTAAAACTTTTTTGAGCTAGTTTTAAACTAGCTCAAAGAGAAGAGTTAGTTGCAAAAGCAATAAAGTTCCCATATGTTGTCCACCCAGTACCTCCTTATAGTAACATAACCATAGTAGAGTTATAAAAACTGAAAAATTACCTACTTTTCATTTTTCAGGCAGTGGCATCTCTCACCCAAGTCATGGCAACAGCCTTAAACAGAGTCTTCGCCTCTGGTCTTGCCTTTTCTCATTTATTTTCTACATTACAGCCAGAATAAGTTTTATGAAAAAACATAGTTAAACCTTTGATGCCTTTCCATTGCTGTTTGGATGAAACCTAAATCCTTGACCACAGTTAAAGGTCCTTTTTGATATGGTCTCAGGTAATTGAACGGTCAAAACCTACTTTCCTACTTCAGTGTCAGTGTAATTCAGCTTCTTATTGAAAACCTTCCCTGGTTATCACTCTTATTTTTGGATAATTTACCTCGTGGATGAAGTCATGTAGTGTCTGGTACTTCCCCTATCAAACTGCTTATCGATCTGTGTTATAAATTAGTATTTGTCTAACTTCTTCATGAGGCTGTAAGTCTCACCATTGTGGCCAAGCACCTAACACAGTGCCTGGCGCACAATAGGCACTTGGTAAATATCTGCTGAAAGCATAAACTATTTACCCTAGACAGGTTTACTCATTGTGTTGGGAAATCTCACTTGCATATTTCATCTTTTTTTTTGTAATTTTATATGCTTTTCACCTAGTACCCCTGTAATATCTCCACATCCAGCAGAACTAAATCTAGTTCCCACCTCCTCTGTGAAGACTTCTTGCCTGCTTAACTGTTCTTGCCTATGGGTTTGTGTAGCCTTTACTATCTTGACTACTCATTTGGCATGTATGTGCCGTCCTATGTATTCCCTCCCATATGTGCATATCGTATCTCCTTGAATCCTGTACAACTGTCAACAGGCAGGTGTATACTTTATTTAGTTCCTTCTTCCTTTTCCTTCCTATTTACTTAGCTTTTAGTACAGATGACTGTGCTGGTGACTTTGGGGGTTGCAATAATGCATAGTCAAGGTCTTTGCCATAAAGGAATTTACATTCAATTAGAGAAAATGAGGAAAGGAAAACTGGTGTTTATTGAGCCAGAGATTATGAATCAGGGATTATGGGTAACTTTTATTACGTGATTGATTTTACTGAACAAATACCAAGGGCATAGAGCAAATACATGAATAAGTAAAAAGTTGTATAAAGTACTGTAGGATTTTATTCATTCAACACACATTTATTGAAGGTGTACTGTGTGCCCGGCACAATGGTAAGTGCCAGAAACAGAGTCTCAGCTGTCATGGAGCTTACAGTTTTGTGAGGGATGTAGAAAAACAAATAGGCAATTACAGTATAGTATGACAAGTTCTACAATGTTTAGGAATCCACTTTTAAGTTGCCTTCTTGGAGCTGTCAGTCTGGCTCTCATTTGAGCTCACAGACAAATAAGCACCCAATGTACTATCTAGTACGTGTGTGCCACTATGTAAGGACATATACTACAGAGAGCTTGGAAGCTAAGAGATGGGACACCTAATGCAACTTGGGGAGCTGGGAAGAAATGATATTTATATTTTGACTGAGTTCAGAAGGATGAATTGGCATTTTTAGCTAGGCAAAAATAATGAGGGCAGTGTATTTGAGGCAGAGGGACCAACAGGGTTAAATGTCCATGTTAGAAGAAACATGGCTCAGTTGAAGTTACGATGGCTGGATCATTGGACTGGGGTTTGTTGGAGTGTAGGATCAGTGAGGGAGTCAGAATGAGACTAAAGAGGTGAGCAAGGCCCTGTTCACACAGGGCTTTATAAGGCATTAACATACCAAATCTGATTTCAATCCATTAACTGAAATTGTTTAAGCTTAGAGTTTTAGCTCAGGTTTCTATTTGGATTTAGTTTATGACCTTGCCCTGTTTCAGTATATTTTTGAAGTATAGAGTGAGAATTGTTCATCATTTCACAAAAATGGGATGAAACAATATTTCAAAAAAAACCCAAACAAACAAAAAAACAAAACCACACAAAAAAAGCCATCCTTTGTTTATTAGTAATTATCCTCTCTGACTGTAAAACCAGATTTCCCAAGATGGTTTTGCAAGGGCACCTTGAAGTAAAAATACGTGTCCCAGTGGAGGTGTCTGTGAGGCTGTGCCAGGGTGTGAAACAGTGCCTGTTACTGGTGCAGCGATTGGAAGGAGTAGAGTCAGGACGGACTGAGGGGAACCAAAGGATTTTGGGTTTCAACCATTCTTGAAGAGGTTAGGGCCACAGAGAGCCCAGAAAGGTTGTGACATAATCTTGGGATTCCCAGTCTGTAATTCACTAACTTGTAGTGTTATTTTAGGCTTGCATGTAATAAGTTATGTTTTCTCTTCTTTGTAGAAAGAAATTCAAGCCATGAGTCAGTGCCATCATCCTAATATTGTCTCTTACTACACATCTTTTGTGGTAAAAGATGAACTGTGGCTAGTCATGAAGCTGCTAAGTGGAGGTGAGTAAAGTACAATGAAATGTTAACTTATATGGATTGAAAAGTTAATAAAAATGTTCTTTTCTCTCCTGGTTTGGCTTTCATGGACATTTGTATTTGAGGAGATAACTGAGAATACAGTATCTGCTAACAGTGCTATTGTATGAGCTGACACAGGTTTCACACATTGCTTTTGGTTGTCATGCCTCTTAAATTTCTCTTAATCTAGGATGGTTCCCTCCCCCTTCAGTCTCTTTTCCATGACATAAACTTGTGCTAGGGACTGGTCTGAAGGATCTGATGGTAACTATCTTGTAGAATGCCTCACATTCTGGATTTATCTGCTTATTTCTTCCAAGTTAAGTTCATACTTAACTTGATTTATGTTCCTCTGTTTCTTGCAAATTGAAAAGTAGACCTAAAGGCTTGATTAGATTTAAGTTAAATATTTTTGGACAGGTTATTCTGTAGGTGATGCTGTGTACTTCATATTGCATCACGTCAGGCAGTATTTGCTATCTGGTAGTACTTTAATGGTGGGGTTAATTTTGATGTTTAGGATTATGATAGCCAGGCCTCTCCATGGAAAAGTTAACTTCCCTTTGAAGCTAGCAGGGAATCTGTGAGATGATATTTTGGCACTGTGAGTATCCAGTTCCCTATAAGTCTTTTGTCTAATGATTTTAGCATCCATTAACAATCTTTGTTTGAATCAATTACTTAGTCAGGGACTGCAGAATGGTGATTTTTTTTTTATTGCATCCTTTCTTTTACATTTATAAACTGGCATTCTTCTGAGAAAAGGAAATACTGGGGCTCATTGATTAATCTGTATTGTATTTCCTACTGAAAAGGGAGGATAAATAATTGGTTCTTTTATTGAAGAACCAATTTTTAAAGAGTTAGTTTGATAATCACCTCCAGTGATGGCACAAGAGGGTTCCCCAACCCCCCAGTGAGTAAGGCTTTCATTTTTTTGACTATCCTATAGACTCAAGGATTTTTATATATTCAGTGTCTTTCAGTCAATTATGTTGTATTCTTTCGATGTTCAGGTTGTCCAAAATTTTGTCAGTTTGAGGAGTCCCTTCAAGCTTACTTTTGTACCCATTTGATATGAATCCATCAATCTTTGAAAACTTCCTTGTTTTTTGGTTCAAGATTTCCTGGGCTCACGTTTCTGTTGCTTTTCCCAGACCCAAAATCAGCCAATATTCCAAGGAGCTTTGGTCTTTTTCGTGGGGAATGGTATTTAGAAAGCATATCCTGGATGCTTGGGATGCTCATAGCTACTGCTTTGTCACTGCTTCTAGTTGAAAGATCTTGGAAATACAGTATATTAAAAATAAATCATGATTGGACATTAATGCTTCAGACCTTTGACACTTTCAAATTACACTTGAATTTGTTTCCTGTTACACAGAAAATCTTGGTCCCCAACATTAACATAATTAATTATGTGCTTTATCCTGCAGTAAACATGCAGTTATTTTTGTTTTAGTTCTTAGATCAAATGTAAGTATTGCTGATTGCAAACAGTTACATTGAATATTTTGTTATGATTACCTGAAGGCCCAAGCAATGCAGTAAATTAGACACTTTGCTAAGGCATGGATTTGAATCGTGGCAAGATTGAGAGGACTAGTGAGTGATGGAGCCACCCACTTTCCTATCATTATGCCTCTTGGTTTTTGTTTGCATATGTATTTTGTGTGGGAGCATGATTTTCCATTTTAGAATATAGGGTTACAGAAAAGAGAATCCATGTTTATTTGTAATTTTAATACCATACCTCATCAAACACCTTACGTGCCCAGACAAGCTGTAAAGGAAAGAACACAGGCTTTAGAATTAAATTCTAACTGTCCTACTTAGCAATATGCCACTGGGCAAACTATTTCAACTCTTTGAACCTGTTTACTTGTTTGTTAAGTGGGGATACCTTTCTGCATTTCAGGGTTTTGGGGAAGAGTAAATGAGATGATATTTGTAAAGCATCCATCACTGTGTAGGTGCACAAGAAATTTTAGTCATTAATAATAATAATCCCTTGTTATTTGATGCTTTTCAGTGTAGCCAGAATCACCTTTTTGTTTCAATCCCATTAGTGACACACTGGAGAAACTGGATTGCTTTGTTAAAGGCCCTGTTCATATGCTGGTTGGAAGCCTTGCTAACACCAACCACCTTTCAAGATGGTGGTCAAGCATGGTTCTTTCAGTATGGACAGATATGGGAATATTAGGTAATACTGTATCTTTTGTTATTGATCACCTATACATTAATTTTCTGTATTGTAATTTACAAAAATGTATAATACAAAGTTTTTCATGTTTTGCTAAAAAGTCCTCTTATGAATAGGAATAAATTGTCTGCCTAGTTTTCTCACCCATACTTGTATTCCAGCCCTTCCTTTCTGCTACTCTTAAGCAGAATGACCTTTTTTGTTTTTAAAGAATCCCTATTCTGATCTCAGTGAGTATATATCCTGATTGCAGAAGGGACAGAACATGTATCTGGGTGGAATGTCTTTTAAATGTACCTCTCTGTCCCTTCTGGTCTTAGGTTTCCTGGGAAAGTGCCTAATTTTTTTAGCCTAGCACTCAGCATATTTCCTGGAGGATAATTTTTAAACATGTTTCAGTTAGTAATTCTTTTTATAATTATTTATATGTTTATGAGTCAGCATAATCTTATATCTAAAATTTTAAAATATTTTTAAATATTAAAAATTTTGCATCTTTTTTTAGAAAAATGAAATCTTGTTTTTGCAGTTATAGGTTGAATACACATTTAAACTGAAGAGATGCATTATGCAATATTTAGAAAACAAAAGGTAGAACTAAGCACAAATTTAAATTTATTTTAAATAGGAGAAAACTGTCAAGATAGCGCAATTAAAATGCCGTTTATCAAATACTTATTGATTACCAATACATTGGTGAATCAAATTCTCCGTTCCTTGCTCTTGCGGACCTCATAGATAATAAGGAAAAGTTACAATTAAATAATTATAAGGGTGTAGAGTGTCATGAAGAAGTATTAGATGCCATGGGAACAAGTACCAGGAGAACCTAACCTTATCGAGGGAGGATGGATGTGGTAGGGTTAACACAGACGTCCCTCAGGAGGTGATGTTCAGCTGAGATCTGAAGAACAGGTAATAATTAGCCAAGTGGAATGGGAGGCGGAGGTGGTATCAGGGGAAAGATGGAAGAAGGGATCCAGATAGAGGGAATACTACAGAGAATTGCCTGGAGGCAGGATGGAGGAGTGTGATGTGTCTTGGTAACTAACGGAGGATGACAGATGGAGCAGAGAGAGAGTGACAGGAGAGGACCATTGATGAGCAGGGTCTCCCTTTGAATAATTAAAATATATATATAACCAGAGTTAACAGAAATATGTATAGGCTGCCTTTTGGTACATCAACTTTTCGCCAACATATTTAAAACAAAAGCAGTATTTATTTATTTTTAATTTTTTTATATTTTATTTTTTTTATTAGTTTCAGGTGTAAACAGTATTTATTTTTTATTTAGCAACATTGTACTAATGTAGAATTTAATAAACTAATTGGATCGTAATATGAATTGTAACTGTCATTATTAAACCCTAATAACCAGATGGATGTCATGGTTAAAATAAGTTTAAGTGTGTCAATATTATAATTATTTTATAATGTTTCCTTGTAACTATAATATTCTTATCTTTTGCTAATTAAAACTTTGATATTGAATAATGAGATTTATTAATATAAGAAGTTAAACTTCAGATATTAAAAGTACTTTTTATCTACATAGTTATTTCTACTGTTTATTAGCACCAAACCGCAATGTAATATTTTTAGAAATCAAAGTAATGAAGAGCTTTTGAAAGGAAAAGCAGTAGTAGTACCTGTAGGGTAAGACGCTCAGGAAATCATATGGAAAGGAAGGGGGGCCTTCCCGGACCAGTATTTTTCAGTTAAGGATGAAGATCTTAGTGACATGATCATCCGTCCCTCCACCTATAAAAATTATACTATGGGAGACCGAAACTAAAAAGACGTTGCTGTCACAGGGAAGAGAGGGCATCTCATAAAGCCTTGTTCAGAATATCTCTTCTGGACGTAGACTGGGGATGTGCATTGCCTTATGTGAAATTAATAAAAATCTTCTAAGATTTTGAAAGTGAGTTCCTGCTTCAAATCCTTAAAAAATACAGATCTAATAACTTTTATGTGCCTAGGGTCTTTGTTGATCAATTTCTTTGAAACACCAGACTGAAGTTCCTTGAAAGTCAGCAGTCATGCCATATATATCTTGTATTCTGTGACACCCAGCTCTAGCTCTTGCATATAATATGGCTAAATTGTTGAATGAATAAATTGTGTTAATTTTTAACTCCTAGTAGGAATTTATCCCTTTGCATCCTAATTTTATGTATTCTTTACATTACAAACATGTAACTCAGTTGGCGTTTATACAGATGTCATCTTACTAAGAAGTTCTTATGTGGCTCGATTTCTCAGAACAAATTATGTGGCCTGTTGATGGAGTCACTTTGCTTTAGGGATTAATGTGTGATTGGTTAAACTAAGCAGAACAAAAAGTTCTTCCTTAGGCTTCCCCCTTTGTGGATCAGTCTTGTGAATCCCAGCAATAAAGAGAGGAAGTGAGGTAATGTATTAGGAAAAGTTACCTCGTATCTGGGGCCTCCCTGGTTCTTTGTCTACAGAGAACAAGCTGCCTGTCTCCTGCTGGAGGTATAGAAAATGTAGTGGCCTGCTTCCAGAGCGGGGAGAAAGGTTCTAGAAATATTATTCTCCCTCATGTGAATTTTCAACAAGTTTTCCTGTTTTCAACCCTTTCCATCAGTTCCCCCTCGGTACCCCTTATGTGGTCCTTATGTTCTGAGCTTTTCTGGGGCTCTAGGTTAGATAGAGATCACTTTTTCCTAACTGGCATACCTTCTCTGCAGGCATTGAAGTTTCTCCGCTCTGCTTAGTCAGTTCTTTTTTCTGCTTTCTTTCTTCCAAAAAATTATTGTTGTCTCTCTTCTGTTATCTTCTTTCTTGTTTTATTCTTCATTCTGGGTTTATGCCCTTATTATCAAGTTAGTGGATTTCAAGCGGGAGCTAAAGTAAACATGGGTTCAATCCTCCCATGTTTTTGAGGATTCCATCTAGACCACTTCTTTTCATCTATTTGGGAATACATTTTTTCTTCTTAAGTGTGAGAAATACAAAGCACCCACCAGGGCCAGTTTTCAACAGAAGCATGTATTTGTTTTAATTTTAGTCTTGATCATTGAAATCTTGTGTCAAGAAATGGGCATCCTTCTTTTCAGTGCACTTCATGTTATGCTCCAGACTTCTCGATACAGTTTCTAATATTGGAGATGGTTGTGATTCTTTGTCTTTATGGGCCATTGTACTGCTAGAAATCTTATAAATCTTTAGCCAACTTTGTAAAATTATAATCATCAGTTATGGTAGTCAGCATTTTATGATTTAATTACTATACAGGTGTCTTTATTCTCTCTCCCCGTAATTTTTAGTAGGAGCATTATTTCCCATCCTGGGAAGAATGAGATTGATAATATATCTGGGCTGTTATTTAAAAAGAACTGCAATTTTTATTCTTTTCATATTTTTCTTTGCCTTACCTATTTCTGTTAACTTGAAACATAATTTTAGCCCTTAAGTTAGTTTGCATACATGAGTATTCTGTAATTTGACATGCATTTTAATTGTGTTTTCCTATCTTTATTCAGTTTTGCATACTCTAATCTGGTGTGGGATACCTAAATTGGTTTGTGCTATCTTATACTAAAGTGTTAATTGATGGACATGGTTTAACTTAGGGATTCTTCAGAGGTGGTTAAAAATTCTCTACTACCTTTTCCACATTCTCATTAGAAGTGTGAAGATGATGCTGGCATAACACTACTGTTTGGATATTAGCAGGCTACTTTTCTGTTTTAGATTGGAATTCAGAATAAATTATTAATTTTAAACTTCTGTATTTCCTTATATTTGCCATTTTTTTCTTTGTTTCCCACACAATTAAATTTATCAAAAGGTTTACATGTATTTTGATTTCAGAATGTCTCTGAGTTATATTGAATAAATTAAAAATTTACGGAAACTGTTTTCTGTTTTCAGGTTCTGTTCTGGATATTATTAAGCACATTGTGGCCAAGGGGGAACACAAAAGTGGAGTCCTAGATGAACCTACCATTGCTACAATACTCAAAGAAGTGTTGGAAGGGTTGGAATACCTGCATAAAAATGGACAGATTCACAGGTATGTAAAAGGCAACACTCTTCTCTTTTGGATAAATGCAGTGGTAGCTGTGCTGTATCATTTCATTGAAGCCATTCTCCATTCTTTTGCAGAATTAATCATAATCTGAGTGTTTACATGGTTCTTTGTATTACTAGTTTCAGCACATTGTGGGTAGGGCTTTAATTACAGGTAGTATTTTAAAACTAACAAAATCTTTAATCAAATTGGAAAATCAAAACCAGGAAAAATTCCTAATTCCCTACCAGGAGGCAGTCACTGTAGTCTATCACTGATAACATTTTGGAATATTCCTTTGCAGTTTCTTTTATGTGCTTAAAAATATTTAAAACAAAACTATATATATAATTTTGTCTGTTCCTTTTTTTATTCCTTTTATATCTTTATCTTGAGTATTTTCTCAATTAAAAGCTCTTTGTAAAATACATTTTTTATAAAGCTTTTTTTTTAAAAAAAGAAAACATTTAAAAAGCTGTGTAGTACAATAATAGGGTGTTTTCATACCTCACTCACATCAGTGGATAGATCATCTAGACAGAAAATTAATACAGAAATAATGGCCTTAGCTATCACATTAGACCAGATCGACGTAATAGACATTTATAGAAAATTTCATCCAAAAAGTGCAGAATACACATTTTACAAGTGCACATGGAACTTTCCAGAATAGGTTACAGATTAGGCCACAAAACAAGCCTTAGTAAGTTCAAGAAGATTCAAATAATATCAAGCATGTTTTTCTGGCCACAATGGCATGAAACTAGAAATTAAGTACAGGAAGAAAACTGGAAAAAATACAAATACACAGAGATTCAACAACATGCAACTAAAAAGCCAGTGGACCAAAGAGGAAATCAAAACTGTCCTGCAACAAATGAAAATGGAAGCACCACTTTCCAAAATGTATAAGATGCAGCAAAAAACAGTTCTAAGAGGGAAATTTCTAGCTATTGATGTCTACCTCTAGAAACAAAAATCCTAAATAAACTATCTAACTCTACACCTAAAGGAATCAGTTAAAGAAGAACAAACAAAGGCCAAAGAGAGTGCCGTGTTTCCCCGAAAATAAGACCTAGCCAGAGAATAAGCCCTAGCATGATTCCTCCAGGGCATGGAGGGCACGCACCCCTCACATGAGGGTTGTATGATCTGTTTCAGGGAGAAGGGTGCCTTTTCCACAAACTCCTTCTGCTTAAAATATTCAGTATGCCAAGGTGCCATATTTTGGCACCTAAAATCATTCTATGGCTTATTGTCTGGCCAGGTCTTATTTTTGGAGAAACAGGGTAGAAGGAAGGAAATAGTTAATTAAGATCAAAGCAGAAATAAATAGAAATTGAAAAAAACAGTAGGAAAAAAATCAATAAAACAAAGAGCTGGATCATTGAAAAGATAAAATTGACAAATCTTTGGCCAAACTCATCAAGAAAAAAAAGAGGCCCAATACAATAAAATCATAAATGAAAGAGAAATTATTGTAACAACTGACACTGCAGAAATACAAAGAATCATTAAAAAATACTATGAACAATTATATGCCAACAGATCTGACAGTCTAGAAAGAAATGGGAAAATTTTTAGAAATATATATAACCTTCAAAGACTGAACCAGGAAGAGATACAAAATCTAAACAAATTGATTACTAGCAATGAAATTGAAGCTTTAATCAGAAACTCCCAACAAATAAAAGTCCAGGACACAGGTGAATTCCACCAACCATTCAAAGAATTAATACCTATTCTTAAGCTGTTTCAAAAAATTGAAGAGGAAGTAATGCTTCCAAACTTTTTCTACAAAGCCAGTATTATCCTGATACCAAAACCATACAAAGATATTACAAATAAAGAAAATTATAGGCCAATGTCCTTGATGAACATAGATGCAAAAATTCTCAACAAAATAGTACAAACCAGATTCAGCAATACATTAGAAGGATCGTACGTTATGAGCAAGTGGGATTCATCCCAGGGATGCAAGGATAGTTCAACACCTGTAAATTAATGTGATCCATCGCATTAACAAAATAAAGGGTAACATCCATATGATCTCAATAGATGCAGAAAAAGCGTTTGATAAAATTCATTCTTTTATGATAACAACTCTCAACAAAGTGGATATAGAAGGAATGGATCTCAACATAATAAAGGCCATATATGGCAGACCCACAGCTAATATACTCAGTGGCGAAAAGCTGAAAGCCTTTAAGATCAGGAACAAGACAAGGATGCCCACTATCACTACTTTTTTTTTTTTTTTTAAAGATTTTTACTGGGGAATTGGGGGAAGGGGAACAGACAAGTTGCTGTCCTTTTGTTCTTCAGTCTAGTTGTGGAGGACGTTGCTTCATTGGCCCAAGTTGGCACCATCATTGCACTCTTCCCGGGTGAGGCAGATCAGTCGCCGGCTTCTGGACAGCCGCTCACTGCGGCTGCTGGCCGCTCACGCTGGCTGCTGGCTAAATACAGTAGCCCATGGCAACCCACTGCCACAGGGGCTGCAGCCTATGCCGTCGCCGGCGATTCACGGCAGCCCAGCTCCAGGTTGAGCTGTTGTTCAGCTTCTTAGCTGTAGAGGGCATTGTCACTGGCCCTCATATGTGGGATCTGAACCGGGGCCCTCTGGCGTCCCAAGCCATCTCTTAACCAATGCGCCACTCTGCTGGCTGTTTTTGTTTGTTTGTTTTTTTTTAGCTGGGCATCCTGCCACCTGTTGGCAGCTCAGTGGAAGCTCAGCTCGGGCCCATGTGGGAATCCAACCGGCAACCCTGTTGCTCAGAGCTCGCACTCTTGAGCGAGCTCTTAACTAACTGAGCCTCTCGGCCGGCCCCAGTTATTTATTTACTGGCTAAAAACTCCATCAGAGACAGTGTCATGTGAGCTGATGCACTGTCTTGATGCAAGAACCATGAACTGTTGGCAAAAAATTCAGGTCATCTAACTTTTTCATGCAGCCTTTTCAGCACTTTAAATTAGTAAACTTGGTTAACTGTTTGTCCAGTTGGTACAAACTCATAATGAATAATCCCTCTGATATCAAAAAGGTTAGCAACATCGTTGCAACAAGCTCACGAATTTAATTGTCAGCCCTTGTATGTGGTCAATTTTTGACAAAGACATTAAGAATGTACAATGGGGAAATGATAGTCTCTTTATAGATGGTGTTTGGAAAACTGGATATCCATACATAAATGAATGAAACTGGACCCCTATCTTACAGCATATACAAAAATTAACTTCAAATGAATTAAAGACTTGCACTTAGGACCTGAATCCATAAACATCCTGGAAGAAAATAGAGTGGTCAAGCTCCTTGACATTGTCCTTGGCAATGATTTTTTTTTTTTTTTTACACCAATAGCAAAGGCAGCAAAGACAAAAATAAACAAGTGGGACTACATTAAAAACTTAAACAGCAAAAGAAACCATCAGCAAAATAAAAAGACATGGATGGGAAGAAATACTTGCGAACCACATAGCTGATGAAGGGTTATATCCAGAATATACAAGGAACTCATGCCACTCAGAAGCCAAGAAAAATCCAACCCAATTTAAAGGACCTGAATAGACATTTTTCCAAAGAAGATACATAAATGGCCAACAGGTTCATGAAAAGGTGCTGAACATCACAAACCATCAGGGCAGTGCATATCAAAACCACAATGAGATATCCTATCACACCTGTTAGGATGTCTGTTATCAAAACAACAAGATGACAGGCGCTGGTGAGGATGTAGAGAAAAGGAGACTTTTGTACACAGTTGGTTGGAATGTAAATTGGTACAGCCTCTATGGGAAACAATGTGGAGTTTCCTCAGGAAATTAAAAATAGAACTACCATATGATCCAGCAATCCCACTTCTGAGTATATACCCAAAGGAAATGAAATCACTATCTCAGAGTGACATCTACACCCCCATATTCATGGCAGCATTATTCACAATAGCCAAGCTATGGAAACCATTTCAGTGTCTGTCATTGGATGAGCGGATAAAATAATATGGTATATATACACAATGGAGTATTATTCAGCCATAAAAACTAAGGAAATCCTGTTTGTGACAACATAGTTGAACCTGGAGGGCATTATGCCAGACAGAGAATGACAAATACCACATGGTATCACTTATATGTGAAATCTTAAAAAAAAAAAATGTTGACCTAATTGAAACAGTAGAAAAGTGGTTGTCAAGGGCTGGGGAGTGGATGAAATAGGGAGAGGTTGTTAAAAGGGTACAAACTTTCAGTTATAAGATGAATAAAGTCTGAGGATCTAATGTACAGTATGTGATTATACAGTAAGTCCTCACTTAACATTGATAAGTTCTGCGACTTTAAGCAAAATGATGTATAATGAAACCAATTTTATCATAAATTAATTAGTATAAACAAGAGTTAAGCTCCTACAGCATCTCATCAATGTTATAATGAAACGATACCAAACAAAATGATGTTATTCCAGGACCTGGCTGTAGTTGGTAAATATATTGTATTATTGCAATTTTCTAAGAATAATTTGAATGTTCTCACCAAAAAAAAAAAAAAATGTAAGTATGTGAGGTGATAAATGTGTTAATTAACTTGATGTGGCAGGGAATCCTTTCTCAGTATATACGTATATCAAACCATCACATTGTATACTTTAAGTGTCTTTTAAGTTTTGTCACTTATACCTCAATTTTTAAAAATCACCTATATAACCCTAATCCTTTAGCAAACAGACAAGCAAAGGCCCAGAAAAGTAACTGATCAAAGACCAGACAACTACCAAGTTGGAAAACAGGTTTTAAAGAGTAATCAGAATATGGAGGAAAAATGCGAGGTACCAACTCCCCCTTTCCCCTCACATAAACTTTTGATTTGGTTACTCTTAGAATAGCATTTTATAGAAAATCAACATATAATAGGTGAAATCAGCCATTTATATAAGCATCTCACTCCAGGAAAAAAGTTGATAATTATTTCTAGTTGTCTAAATTTTCGAACCTACTTAAGTCTTAAAA